ACCCCCCGCTGCCCCCGGCGGCCGGGGGGCGACATAAAAAAAATCAGCCAAAAAAAACAAACAAAAACAAAATCCTAAATCGTAATAAAACAATCCCCTGTCTGGGGCAGGCAGAGCTGCGGGCAGCCTGGGGCGCTGCCCGGCTCCACTCAGACGCTCGCCGTTTACTTCTGACACGCACGAAGTGGGGACGACCTCTTTATTCATCAGTCGGACAAGACGGGTGACCAGTGGCAGTGCTTTAATTCACAAGTAACAGAGTTGAACATGGATGTACAGTCAAGCATGCAACAGGCGCAACATCCCCGTCCCAGCAAGTGACAGGCCCTCCTGCGCTACCCCAGCGCATGCAGTCGCTCCCCGAAAGACCCTGTGCACGCCTGGGATGCTGACCTCCCGCCAATGGAGATACGGGAACAGAACGTGGACAGGGAGCAAAGATTTTTTTCCTCCATAAATAATTGGTCATGAATTCTGGCTCTTTACATAGTGAGTGGGATGGTGAGACACTGGTCCTAGACAGCTTACCTATAACAGTCCATTTTCATTTTTTTTTTAAAGTGTAACAGTACAAAAATCCAAACAATACATTAAATAAAGTGAATAAAAATGAGCTAGTCTGTGTTACATAAAGTTATGAAACTAGAAGGAAAAGAAGAAATAAATAGTGGCAGGTTATATAATAGAAAGACGTCCTTTCCCATTTCGTCAGATAAGTGACTGGTGCATCTGTTACACCCGATTTGTAGACTGTTCAAAACTGCCAATTAATTAAAAGATATAAATGCTTGAAGAGAACACTTTTTTTTTTTTTTGGTAAAGACACAAAATAGAAGTAGGTGTCTAGTTTCCCTTTGTACCTTGGCAACCTCCCTTCAATTCTCTCTCTACCTCATTCAAATTCTGCATTAAATGTAGTCAAAGATGAAATGAAGCCAGAATAATCTGTGCTACTATGGGGTTCTTTATGGCTCTTTCTGTGGTACCACAAAGCACTGCAGCTTCATTGTACAGAACAGAGAGAGAAACCAGATATTCATAACTCAGCAGAAAAAAATTCTTGGAAACCGAAATAGAAGGGGAAGGATTCTATTTTTAAAGGATTTTAAAAAAATCCAACTAAGTGGGAAAGTACATCTTCAGATACATAACAGCCCCTGCAAATAGGTCAAGTGTACATATGGCACAAACTTAACGAGTCTTCTTTATATACCTCAAAACAGCATGAAATCCATCAAGAAGGCACTGTTTACAATACACAAGAAATACCAGATCTATTTTCAATGCTTTCCAAGTTGAAGATATATTTGAAATACAATAACGAATTAAAAATCTTATAAAAGTACAGCATTCTTATTAAACATGCTACATATTTACAGAACGAAAGAAGAGAAGTAACAGCCTCTTAAAAAAAACAAACCCTACTTTTTCACATTATGCTAGACAGATTATGTTAGAATCCAAGTTCTGTTTCATTAACAGTAAACTGGCAAGAGCATTTCCCAAAAGGCACAGGAGGGCAGTGAACTGTAACATTAATGCTCTCTTTCATAGGACAACATCATGGAGAATTAATTTTTGGAGTTTTAAATTTGGAAAATAACATGCTGTACCCTTATAAGTGATGCAAACTATTCAAAAGGAAGCAACTTGTGAAATAATTACGGTATCTATTGCTGGAACTACACGTATTACATGTAACATGACAGGCTTACTCTTAGGTCAGCTGAATGCAACTAGTTAAATGGCAAAATTAAAGACTTAAGTGCATTTTAAAAACAACCAAAACGCCATATGAAAACAAATCATAAGTTATGAATATTTTCTACTTCCTTTACAAAGGGAAATAAAAAGAGAATTTGTAATCAAGCGAGAAAACAAGTGCTCTGCTTTAAATGCTAAAAATTAGGAGGCCACTGCCCTCAGACAACTGCAAACTGTACAATCATTTTTATGACTATGTGCAGAATATTCAAGATCAACTATACATCATGGTTAGATATGACATTATCAAGAAAAAAGGCTTTACAAGCTAGGCCTGAGATCAGCCTTACTTTAAAAAAAAAAAAAAAAAAAAAAAAAAAAAGGAAGAAAGAAAAATTAGGCAGTAAGTTCCTTCATTCTGTTCATCTAAGGGAAATTCATACAAATATCAGAACAAAATAGGAACCACCAGGCATTTAATGTATGTGCTTCTTAATACATGAGTAATAAGTTATAGTCAGGAGGACCTGCTGCCTATAGTTTTTCATTAACAATTTCAGGAAATATTCTTTGCCTTTTCGGTCAGGAATTAAGCATGTTTACACCTCAAGTAACCAGCTACAAATATACAGAAGGAAAAAAAAAAAAAAAAAAAAAAATCAGCTTCAGTGTAAATAAGGCCATTTTGCCTAGCTCCAGCTTCTACACATATGCAAAACTCAAAGTTCACTACTGAGTGATTCTCAAAGATGGGATAAAGTATGCATACACTTTTTTACTAGGCAAAACCCCAGCAACTGCTAGCTAATGTGCTATTTTTACCATGACAGCAGTAAGAGTATGGACAACGCCAACTAAATATTACAACATTCTCATCTTTAGACCACCCCTTGATTTTATACATCACTTTGACTGCTTCCACTTTTGCTGTCTGTTATGGGTTTACTGTGCTGGACTACCTCCCTTTTTATGCTAAGGGACTTTCTATACCCAGATTCTACCCACCATGTGTAGAAACCAAAATCAGGCTTGGTCATACCAGAATATACAGAAGAAGTTGATAGAATTGTTTTCTAGAAAATGATTCGAGACCCAACTACATTTTAAGAGCGTGAATGTGTGTGCGTGCAAGATGGGGTGTATGGGGGGAGGAGAGGACGGGAAATAGCTATGTTCAGGCAGGATGCATAAATAGTAAAAGTTTGTCATGTAGGCGAGACTAAAAAAACAGGGGAGAAGGTAAACAGAATTGGGAGGTAGGGAATGTCTGTGAGGAACACAGGAAAACAAAGAGTCAAGGCAGATAAGGCAAAAGTCTAAATTAAATTTTCTTTGTCCACAAAGGATGAGATGTGTGAGTTCCCTGCTACACCACTCAGGTGGGATGGGGTTAGTGGGTGGGAGGGGCTAAAATGGCATTAAGCCACCCTGACACCACCTCCCTCCCACTCCCAATCCCGGGCTGTTTTAGGGGCAGGATTGGCCCAGACAATTTTAGGGCCTGCCTAAATTGTGGCACCCTTCAAGGAACGACCCACTGGCTGTAGCACTGCCCAAGATCTCCACAGTCCTATAAGTTTTGTGATGTCTATTCCTATCTCCAGCATGTCCTCTGTGCCTTGACTGTAAAGGAGATCTTGGGAAGATGATGAGCATCTTCCCCACTCCCCAGGGTAGCTGTGTTCCTTGGAATAGGCTCTTAGGGAACCTTTATGTCACTCTGATCTCTTACCTAGTAC